CCTGACAGACTGGAGAAAACCCAAGAGTATGGCCCCCAGACACCCTTTTAGCTCAATGGTGAAGTCACTCCTGAGGTTCACCCTTCAACCAAAGATTAGACAGACCCATAAAATAAAATGGGACTAATGAGGCACAGCAGTCCAGAGACAAGGACTAGAAGGCAGCGGGGGACAGGAAAGGTGTTGATAGGGAACCGAAGGTTGAGAAAGGACAGTGCTGACATGTCGTAGGGTTGTTAACCATTGTCATAGGGCAATATATGTACTAACTGTTTAACGAGAAACTATTCTGTAAACCTTCATCTAAAGTACAAAAAAAGAGAATTATCTATGTGAGATCAAATTGACAACAGCAACTGAAAAGGTTTGATGGGAAGCCTAGGGGGCGGTGAGATGAAGATAATGGTGATGGAATAATTTGGAAAAGGATAGTGAGAATAGCAGCACAACTGGAAGAATGTAATCGATGTCACTGAATTGTACATGCAGAAATTTCTGAAATGGTGTATCTTTGGCTATGCATATTTTCACCAAAAGAAAGGTCCTCTAAGGTCGAGAAGGGAGAGTGTTGACATGCCGTGGGGTTGTAAACCAATATCATAAAACAATATATGTACTGACTGTTTAATGAGAAACTATTTGTTCTGTAAACCTTCATCTAAAGTACAATTTAAAAAAACGAAAAAAAAAAAAAAACATTTATTATTGATTAAATGCTTAGATAAAGCCTAAGAGGGTGGGACATATAAATAGCTCTAAATCAGTTTTTTTTTTCTTCTTTCTAAGGGTATACAAACTTTAAGGCCGTGTCTCAAATTGTGGGTCTCTACCCAGTGAAATAAATTTAGCAGGTCACAACCAGCTTTAAAAGGAAACAAAGATGAACCTTGAAAACACTATGCTGAGTGAAATAAGTTGGACATGAAAGGACAGATATTATATGATTCGCTTATATGAACTATCTAGAATAGGCAAATGCATAGAGACCAAACCTTATTAGTGGTTATGGGTGGTGGGGCGGGGGTAGAATGGGAGTTACAGGCAGTCTCCAGATTAGGAATGAGTTCTGTTCCTAAATCTGTCTTTAAGTCGAATTTGTATGTAATTTGGAATAGCTAGGTAAGGTTCGTATCTAACGTCAGTTAGTCAAATGTTTATCTTAGTATATAGTATATAATGTACCTTTCTATGCATAAAAAACATTAAAGAAATAATTCCAGATACACTAAAACATTTTAACATAATACAGTAATAATAATAACGTTCTGATGTGTGTCTCAAAGTAGCATCCATTTGTTATTATGAAGCATTGTAAGTAACTCAAATTTTTAATATAATAGACTTTAGGGTGTGGTTCCAAACTACAAGTTGTACTCGGAAGTTTGTAACCCCGGGACTGTCTGAACTGCTGAAGGGGTACTGAGTTTCTGCTTGCAGTGATGAAAAACTTTCAGAAGTGGATAGTGGTAACGGTAGCACAGTCCCTGGGTGGTACAGATGGTTAATGTACGTGGCTGCTAACCGAAAGGTTGGAGGTTTAAGTCCACCCAGAGGAACCTTGGAAGAAAGGCCTGGTGATTTACTTCCAAAAAATCAGCCACTGAAAACCCTGTGGAGCACAGTTCTACTCT